GAGTTGAAAAGCATCTAGAAAAAATAGGGGAAATAAAAATAATGCGAGAAATAGAGGCAGAAGTGGCACCTTGGGCTAGGAAAACACCTGAAATAGACCTCTCAATAAACGAAATCGACAAAAACCCAAATTTATGCAAAATCATATACCATGAAATAATAGACAAAAGCCCCAAAAGCATAGCAATATATACAGATGGATCAAAAATGGGAAATTCTACATCATCAGCAGTTGTCATCCCCACCACAAAGGAAACATTATTCCAACATCTACCAACCTATGCATCAATATTTACAGCGGAGTTAACAGCATTAAAAATGGCCCTCAATTATACCATAAATAAGACCAACAAAGAATACATGATTTTTGCTGACTCGCTATCCAGTTTGATGGCAATATAAAATCATAAAGCCAACAACCCACTAATAACACAAATTCAAAACTCTATATGACACATATGACAATAAATAACAACTAGATAAAATTTGTGTGGATATCGAGCCACATAGGAATAGAAGGGAATGAAAAGGCCGATAAAGCTGCAAATCTGGCTCATCGCCTCCCTATCTCAAACATACCAATACCATACTCTGATATCAAGGTGATAATCAACCAATACATGGCATCGATGTGGCAACAAGAATGGAGTAAAAGCAAAAGCTTTCTAAGGAAATCAACGCCAAAAATTGAACTTAAGGGATCAAAGATAATAACCGTTGAAAGGCGATTCCAGACAGCGATAAAGAGAATCAAAATTGGCCACACTAGATTGACACATACATGGATCCTTGAAAAAAAGACTCCCCCAAGGTGCGAAATATGTGGAACACAGCTCACAATTTTCCATATTATCATAGAGTGCAAAAAATACAACCAACCCAGATCAGAATTCAATATACCAGCAAATATGCAGGAAATTTTTTTAAATCGGGATAATATAAATAATTTAATAGGGTATATTATAAAAATTGAACAAATTAACAAAATTTAAATTTAACAATATTAAACCGAAAGAATGAATGAGGGAAAGAATGAAGAAATGAAAGAAGATACAGGCGTGAAGATAGCCAGAATGTGCTGAAACGCCGTTAAAAACGCATCTCAACAACAACAACATTATTTAGTAATTATTACGAGTTCATTTAAACGTACAACTGGAAAACTGTCACCAATACGCGTTTTGAAGCTTTTAAACCATGTTGTAGTTTTTGAGCTAAGGTAAATTTGAAGTCATGGCGCATATATAAATAAAACTCAATTAAACTTTATCATTCACACAACTAGTTTTTATTTAATAAAAACTTTATCATTTACACAACAAATTGTTATTTATCGATCACCTCACTAAGTCATCCTCTAGTCTATTAATTAGCGTTTTTATGCCATTACTTCATTTTATTGTCAATTTATTTATTTTTTATTTTTTTTATTATTATTCTTTATTTTATTTTTCATGTTTAAACCATGGATATATATCCATGGTTACCGGTATTTTAAGTACTTTTTTTATTACATATCTATGGTTGTCTCATTTAAATTTACTTTTCAAAAATTGGAGAAGGAAATTCGAAGATTGCCCTGATCAAAATTAATAATTTTAATAGCTGTAAATCATTTTCTATTTTACAAAATGGCTCATAGAACGATAAATTTTTTAAATAGAATTTCTTTCATGAAGTTACACAATTCGTCGTCGTCTGGCGTACTTCTGGCAGTGTACATGCCTCCTAACATTGACATTTATGAAAATTTTCAGGCTGGTTTTTATCTTTTTAGTTGGGTTGTTTTATCAATTATTTATTAATTTATTATATATATATATATATTAAAATTGATTGTATACATACATAATTAGGTTATCCTTAACTTTTAACTTTATAAACTTTACTTGTTTTAATTTTAATTTAAATGTTTTAATAATCAATATACCATTTGATAGTAACCATTACTATAAAGATAAACAAACAAACTATATAATATATAAGGCATATAAGTTAAGTTGAGACATAGTTTTTGATTTAAATTACTAAGCACAGAAGCACTAGCAATTGCAATACACTATACTATACAGTATACAGGAACATACTTATACTAATTATAACTTTACACATTCTGCTACTAAATACAATTAAATTACACTCCAATCCCACAATTGTGTGCCATGATGATAAATCTTTTTAAATTAACTTTTTTTAACTCAACTGAAATCTTAAATATAAATGCAAAACCAATGTAAACTGAAAATATATGTTCTTTGAAATTACCAATTAATTCATTGCATGTGTATAAACTTTAATTTACTCTTGTTTTTCTCTTTATACTATAAAAATGTTTAACAATATTCTATAAAAATATTTAACTTAATAATTCTAGGACTTGGTTAGTGAAGAAGATGGGTCATTCGATTCAGTGAAGAGTTGTTCATTGTCATTTGTTCCTTCTGAAATCATTTTCAACTTTTGTTGGAGCGATGAAACTAACTTAAAGTCTTTCCCCAAACTTCTCAAGTATATATATACAATTGAGATTTATTAATTTCTCAAGTTAATATTTCAGTAACTAATTTTCATTCTGTTTTTATCCTGACAGATTTTACGCAGTCGATGAATGTAATGTCATCTGGGTTTACACTTTTGATACGAAAAGGAAATCAGACAGAAATGTTGGATGCACTACTATTTATATTTCCATTAAATCATCATAAATATCCACTAAAAATCTACTCTAAAAATCAAATCATGAAAAATTTTCAAGATCGTCGGCCATCACAGCTCCTTCATAAATGCCCTAGTGGAGCAGCCCGAATCTGGTTTGTACCTGGCCAGTGTGGGCGATGATAATAGATGTTGCCTATGGACTGCCAATGAAAAAAACATCAAGGACAATGTTGTCTTCCATCTGACATCTCCAGGTATCAATGTTCTATGGAACCCTAAGGAGCCTAACAAGGTGCGTTTAATTTTTCTGTCAATGAAAACAGTACATATATAAAAGCTTTGTTCTTTTACCTATGTTTCTCAATTATAAAGTGGATGGTTCAGTGGCTAATTACACACACACACACACACACACACACACACACACACACACACACACACACACACACACATGCAAACACACACATGCAAACACACACACAACACACACGCAACACACTTTTACACATGCACACGCATACACGTACGTACACACTTGCACACACTTGAAACCATCATAACTTTCATGATATTTGTACTGCAGTTCATGGTGGCTGAGAAGAATGGTATGATCAGGTTTTACAGTGCAGAGAGTAAGAAGGCCTTATTCTCATTGGACAGCTGTCAGAACCTGCTCTCCACCTCCGATTGGTCCTCGTTCAATTCCCTCTACGTTGCTGCTATGGTCGAGTCAGATCTCACCGTTTTCGATACTTCAAAATCTAAGTTTGTTTTTGGTTTTTAAAATTTTTCTTAATTTTTTTTAAATTTTTGAATTTTTGGGTTCTTCAGTTGTTTAGTCATGTTATGTTTGTTGTGTTAAATTACTGAGTCTGAGATACATAGGGAGGGAACTGCAAATTGACATCTGTCATGCTATCAAATATTCATGGAAAAATTGAGATATTTTTTATTATTTGAAGTAAAACTGCTGAGAAGTAATTTGTTAGAAAATTGTGATGTCAAATTTGAAATAAAACTCATAAGTTTTGTTAAGAGCAAACAGACTCTAAAAATGACTGAAACTGAAAAAATGACTTAGCTAATATATCATAATAAAACTGCCATATCAGTCATTATATTTTTTCTATGGCGTTTCTTGCTAGTTTTTTAATGCTTCATGACACAACTAATTTACAACACCGAAAACGTTTTGTAAGTGGTAACCTAATACAGTCATTTTATTTTTAATTATTTATATTTGTATAGATTAATAATTAAAGTTTTTATCATCGATATAAATAGATTGTTTCACTGTTTTCTTGAAAATTTTTTATTTGTATTTCTTTTTGGTTTGTATAACTTGAATGTATGCTTATTTGAATTTTGAATTAGAAATCTTTTTGTCTTTCACTTCGATAGAATCTGTTTGTTTATTTTAATTTGTTGGCAAGAGGTTTACCCGGGCAGTTTCTTCTTACATATATAAATAGGTAATTAAGTAAATAAGTTATTTTTATGTGCACATAAACAAATAAACTACACACATACACACACGCACACAAACACACACACACAGCCGACCGATGTTGGTTGAAAAAGTGACAGATTCAGGTGCAGTGAGATTAGCCTGGTGTCCATCGGTTGATTACATCCTTACATTCGTTAGCAGGTCCAAGTACCAGCTAACAGTTCTTAATGTCAAATCAATGAAGGTTACATTCGTTTGTTCTTGTTTATAAGCGTCTTTTATCGCTTCAAAAATCTTTGTTTAGTTCATTTAAAATTTCCATGTTAGATAATGGTTACATATGTATAGGTGTGTACTACGTATGTATATGTGTTTACTACATACACATATGTGATCAAAATAAAAACGCGTTTAGTCGTTTATGTGAGTGTGCAGTGTATGTGATTTTGTTATTTAGAATGTTCTCAATATTTGTTTAGCTTTTATTTCACTGTTTGCTTATGCATAATGTCCACTAAGACACATCATATTTCTTCTATCTGTTCTCATTATCCAATCATAACATACAACGCTTTGTATTGATTTTTTTCTCATTTTCATGTAAGATACAAATATTTTTAATAATTATGATGATATAATTAATTAATTAATTATTCATTTCATTATTAATTAATTAATTAGATTCTCTTTACAATGGACCTGAAGTTGTACAGAGGATTTGAATGGCACACCTACCTACCGCATCTCTATGTGGCTGATGACATGAACATACATATCATCGATATATCTTCTAAAATATAGTCATAAGTGCACACATGCACACGTGTACACAACACACACGTACACGCAACACACACACACATACGTACACACGCATTTGTTAATAATTCACCCTCTCGATAACAATTTCTTATATTTAATTATTTACGTTGATTAATCAATAAATAAAATTAAGGTTGTTAAAAGTTGCAAGGTTTATACACTTGTTTGTAACGACATATATGGTCGGTATTGTAGGTGTGATTATGGATAACGTTTTCAATTCATCTTCTTATCCGGTTTCCATTTTTTTTCTCCCGATTACCATGTTATCTTTTTCAAATTCCCATTTTTGATGAACCTTCTCCATGCCCTTCTTTGCCCCCTTACGTTTGAAATTAACTTTTATCTTGTTGCTAATATTTTTGCGTTGTGAATAAAGAGGATTTGTAAAGCGTGAACTTTACGGGAAAGTTGAAGTTCATCGTAGAAATATATCCGAGAGTTAGAGTATATTTGAAGTTTTTGCATCTCCTATTTAACCTAAATCTCCATTCACGAATATTCACGAATCTCCATGTCCACCTCTAACAATAATTCTCTTGTTTTAATGGCTTAGAATCATCTATGATGAGTTATGGTAAACTATAAACATATAGTAAATTAATTTTAAACTATGATATGAAAAGGCCTTCAAAATCGGTTTGTGTTGAGGATTTCTGCGTCCTTTATGCAATTCAATCAAGTCTTCGATGGTTACTATGATCCTATTTCAATTAGGCGAACAAACTGACGGTTAAAAGTGTCAAAGTCATTTGATCACCAAGTTAAAATGCGTTAAATTGCTTTAAATTTAATTTTTGATCTAATTCATTTTTATTATTTGCTACCTTTCTATACCCACACCAACTGGTTGCTTTACGCTGCGCCTATTAAAAATATTGAAGCCTTAGAAATATGTACCTTTCGGTTTATTTTTTATTCGCTAATTTCCGCTAAAGATTCTTGTCTTATATTTACGTAAATGAAAGCGTATTTCTAGAAACGTGGGAGCACACACACACACACACACACACACACACACACACATATATATATATATATATATATATATATATACTACACACACCCAACATCCACACACACGCACATATACATACACGCATATATACATATGCACATGCAAACAACTCTAATATGTTAATCGATAAATGTGGGCATTTGTTTGAATGATAATTTCAGGTGAAATAAGATTTTTATTTGTCATAATTTTTCGTTATTAACGGTATAATATTTTTCACATTATTAAATTCACATTCGTTGTTTTATTTCTCACTTTAAAAATTCATAATATGATGAGAAATAGCAACACATTAATGGTCAACATTAAAATTAATTACACTACGATGATCTCGTATCTCGCCTAAACGAAGCATCTGTACAATGTTTATATACGTACTGGAAATGAACGTATTTGAAACAGACAATGAACATTTTAATAACTCAGTGATGCATCTGTGGCAATCAATCAACCATCCACTCATGCTCACGTACTCAGATTGACATTTGTTCATCGTAACAGCAGTTGAAAATAAATTACCTAAACACAGATTATTGCAGCCAAAAGATCGGCCTCATTGCCAGAATTTTGGGTAATATTTGTGAAATTTGTTCTCAGAGAGCATAATGAAAACAAAGCAATAAATCACAGTACAAAAAAAACAGTCTTCTTTTAGCCTAAACATTCTTTCGTTTGTGTAACCAAATATAAAAATATATATATATATATATATCTATATATTATATATATAGTATTTATTTAGAAGATGTGTGTGCGTGTATGTTTCTTGGAAATTCTTAACAAACGAACAACGGTTAATAAGTTCACATAAATAATCAACTGTATAATATGTGCATGTACATGCTTCAAAGAATTCTCGATCGGAAATGTTCGAATAGACATCACACGTATGTATGTTTGATATATACTCAATATATCTGTATATGTACGTAAGATACAAGACGTATCCACATATGTAGGTATGTATATAGGTATATATGTATACAGCTACATATGTATGTATGATACTATATGTTTACATACATGTGTGTGTATGATACATGATATACCTACATATGAATGTAAGATGCAGAGTTAAGCAATATTATGCATACATATGCGTGGTGTTGGTAACTGTGATGGAATACAACAAAAAAATTTGTTAAAACAAGCTATCGATACTAGGTCGTAAATAACGACACGTATTGGTGAAAATAAAAATAACAACAATACTGCAACACAAATATAAGCATTTATATAACTACATGAAAATATATACATCCATATATGGGGTTCAGTAGAAAATAAATTATTTTAAAGTGAAGTGTAGTTACATTGTTGGATGCAAGGGAACGAAGAGTAATTTAATTCCATGCATTAGATATTTGTATGTATACGCGCAGATAAAAATCTGTAGCATTATTAAACGTCAATTGAAAAACTCATTTTAAAAATTCAACAGATAGGACCGTAACAAAGCATAAAATTGGCATCATTTCACATCAAATATGCAACAATAAACTCACAACTTAAACGTTTGCGTGCTGTAGATACACGTTTAACAAGATTGATGGTGCGATACTTAACACGAACAATAGCACAAATTAATTTCATGCATTAGATATTTGTATGATTATAAGATGAGCCAATATGTTCTCTGGCGTTAATCATCCTTATAATACAACTCTGCCCAGTCAGAATTCTACTAACTAATTAATTAATGAGCAGAGGTAATTATCTCTCACAATTATAACAGCAATTATGTCGGGTCTTCGATCTCCGTTCACTGCTTTCATGCATTACAGTTAGTTATAAACAACACTTGAATGAAAATATAATACATTTAAATAATACTATTGAATATTAAAAAAAATTCAATTATGCAAAATTTTTTTATCCAACTTCTCGAGTTTTATCTCTGGTTTAGAGGTATAGTCATTCACCAAATGGTGCGAGACTCATTTCAAATTTGATGATTATTTTGGGCTGACATGGTGTTCATTCCCATCTCGCTGCATCTCCTCACTACCGTAATTCTTTTTGATTTGCAACATATGCCAAATAAGTAGTGGTTGAAGTATCTTTTGAAATCTGTGCTCACTATGTAGAGAGTCGGTGGGTTGATGCAGGAATTAAAAAACGAAAAAACAAACGAAACCAACTGCCAAGTCATTTTTGATGTGTGCAAGCTGAAGTTTGTGTAGTTGACAGCGAAGATATAGACGTAGCGTGGCGTCCAGCAGATGATGAAGAGGATGACAAGCACCAGAACGATCTTCGCGATTTTCTTTCGAGTTTTCAGATGCTTCTTCACAATAATTTTATCATTAAATTTCAAACTTGACCGCAGTACCTTGGACGGTGCGTGGTAGAGAGCCTGTGCTATCGCTACGTACATGAGGGTTATTATCGTGAGAGGTAGAAGGTAATAAGCCGTCAAATTGAACAAACGTCTTCCTAAAGCATAAGAGTCGTCAATGCTTTCCCCATATATCAATCCGTACAAGTGACAGATGGTGAATGTTTCGTAAACTAATATTCGACTCGTTATGATGTCGGGTAGTGCAAATGATACGGCTAGAATCCAAATTAAACACGTTGCAAAAATTGTTTTCCTCTTTGTTATCCAACTCAAAGTGGAAATTGGCCAAACAATGGCTACGAATCTGTCCCCGGCCAAGGCTGTTAGAGTGAAAATTGAGACCCCCTGTGATAGGTTGATGACGAATTCGTTTATGTGGCAGCAAAACGAGCCGAAGATCCACTGTTCATGAATGTAGAGAAGAGTTCGCAGTGGAAGACTGCATATGATGACCAAGAAATCTCCGATCGCCAAGCTGAGAAGCAGCAAGTTGGTCACTGACCTCATTGACGCGTTGGCCACGATGATGAAGATCAACAGCCCGTTGCCGACGAATCCGATGATGAAGATGAATCCCAAAATGTAGGGAGCTACCACGTCCGCCCACACGATGCTTTCTTCCACGTAAGAAACGGTTGTGCTGTTCATTTTGTGGTGTTAGACTTTCCAATGGTCAGCATGTTGTTTGTGATGAATTTATAGAAATACGTAATCAAAGCAATTTAATTTAAAACCAACAAAATATATTGACGTGGAATGTTTCGAGAGAAACCACACAACCTTCAGTTTATTATGCTTCTATCTACACTGGTTTGATGATTAAAATTAATATTTATTGGTACCAACCAACGATGTTACATTAACTATTACGTCAACTCGTGAAGCCCATCTTATAGCAACAGTAGCGTCCTTGGTGATCAACTTTGCTTTTATGAAGCCGTGTGGCCGCTGTATGTTATAATATTATGTATATATGTATAGTGTATTTATGTATAAATATGAACATATATATAATATATATATATATTATATATATATATATATATATATATATATATTATTGTATGAATGTTACCGAATGCTTGGCATTAATCAATTTAAAGTTTGTCTTTTCAATTTTCCTTACCAGAATTTTCTGGAAATTGATTAATACCAACTATTCGGTAGAATTCGTACAATACTGTATAAAATGTGGTCTCCTTCCAGCATTTATATATATGTGTGTATGTATGTACGTGTGTGTGTGTGAGTTTGTGTGTGTGTGTGTGTGTGTGCATGTGAATGTATGTTTGTGTTAACAACCTACTGTAAATAACTGTAATATTTTTGGAATTTTCATAGTTCGTTTCGCATCAAAAGGAGAAAAAGATGAAAATTGTTAAAAAAAAGTTTGATACTTGTACACATTTTCCATCAATAATTAAACGTCCTCCTAACCAGGTACACAAAATTCTGATGTTGCTATTTTTAAAATTTTTATTAAATTTATCTTAGAAATTGATATATACCTTTAGGCTGTTTGTCTGACTTGTCTCTAGGCTAATGGTTAACTTATAATTAACTACTTGTAAAAAGTTTAAAGACAACACAGCATGGATTCTAAAAAGATGTAAATCGACTGTTTAATGTTTGTGTATATATGTGCGTGTGCGTGTGTGCGTGCGTGTGTGTGCGTGCATGTGTGCGTGTGTCGAAAATGTTCAAATTATGCAACTGGTCTGATTTATCGTTACAGTTGCAGGTTTGGATGGGCTTGGATAGAAGTAGAAAGCATTACATTAACTGTTGGTTTTAAAGAACCGTATCAAATCAAATGTATCAAATGTATCAAGAGACATTTATATCTTATTATTATTTATGGTATAAAATTGATGAATATATCTGATGACAGATGATTTCATCCTATTGGTTGAGTATTGGTAATGGAGAAATGTTTATGGTATAAATTTATGGTATAAAATTGATGAATATATCTGATGACAGATGATTTCATCCTATTGGTTGAGTATTGGTAATGGAGAAATGTTTGACAGGCAGTGCAGTTCAACATGAAGAAAAAGAATGATTTATTGATAGTTTAATAATGTTAGAACATAGAGATTTTTATGTATTTAAAAAGCATACAAGTTTTGTACCATAGAATGAACAAGCAACTTCACTTTTACCGATTAGTCGATATTCTTGGGTTCGTATCGTATATCTTTTATCGAAATTTATTGTAAAGTCGTAAATCTACATAGAAACTAAATAAAAAAGAAACAAAAAATGTGAAATAAAAACTACATAGAAAGAACTTTTAAAGGTGTACAAGTTGTTAAAGAATGTTTAGAAACACATTTTTTATAGGTTCATTAGTTTTTTGCCGGGTTAGGTTGTATAGAATGACAATCTTCTTTTCTTTTTATAGAAGTTAGGGTAACGTTCGTAGCAGTTTGGGCATTGATGAAATTTCTAAATTAATTTTTAAATAAAAAAATTCTGAAATTCACATCTGTGAAGTTTTTCAATAAAGTTTTTAATAAATTTTTACTCGTTTTGAAGTTTAACGACATCAGCTCTGTTGAAGATGATTTGTACGAGCGTCGTTGACAGACAACATAAATATTTTCTTAATTTAATTTAATTTAAACCAATTAAATCGTTGAAATATTATTAATATTATATATATATATATATATATATATATATATATATATGCATATATTATATTTATTAATAGAATATATTGATATATCTTTGTATAAAACAGATGAATAAACAATCCTAAAGAGAAATATTTTTAAAAATAATTTTGATGTGGTACAATACGGGTTTTTTTTACATTTTTCTTTTTTCAAACAAATCTTTTAAAATTTTGTAACATTTTTCTGGATACCGTAGAGATTGTTCCATGAATTCCACTAAAAAATTTCTGCTATGACCAGTCCGTTTCATATCGTTAATTATAATATTATGGGGAAAATAAAAGTTTGTTATGTTTCGTTTCGTTACAAATTTAAAAAATGCATAGTAGATATAACATGTTGCAGAATAAATAAAGAAAATCATTTTCTTATCAAAATTAAAAGCTTGGTTATGAAAAATATGAAAACTAAACAAACTTCGATGAATTAAAATCTTATCAACCGGAAAATTGAAATTTTTAAAAATTAAGTTTCAAACAGGACAGAAAAAAATAAAAATAGCCACAGAGCTACGTTTAGAATTCTAATTTGATTTTTGTATTAATAAAAAAGTATTTGCAATTTTTTATATTAATTTCATTTAAATTACTGCCTGATAAGAAAAATCACAGGAAGAATGTTGTAGTTGTTGCCAAATGAGTGATTTTTAAAAATATTCTCTCATATTTATGCTACTTCAACGTACATTTACACGATATTATGTCAATCTATTCTTAATATGAACTTTAAGAATTAAGACTACAACATTTCGTATTTCTATTAATATATTAACAATTCATTAAAAGGGTGTTGTTTTTTGTGATAAATTAAAAAAATATATATGGAATAGATATTAAGCCATCTACAGACTTAGAAAAAAACAATGTGTTCGTCTGATATTGATGTTCATTTCACTGTGCATCTAATTAGTCCATTTTTTGTGTACCTCGAAAGTTGTCTGTTGCCTTCAAATGAAAAATAAAAGTGTGAATTCAAATGTTTAAAAATTTGCAAAAATTATATTAGGATAAATTTCTCAAAAATTGAAATTTTCTTAATTATAAACCATAATGTTTTGTTCAAAGCAGGGGTGGGCAAACTTTTTGCAGTAAGGGCCGCATTGAGATTTATTTTACCTTTGAAGAGCCGCATATGTACTTAAATAGAAAATTTTTATAGAAATATAAAAAATAAATTTATAGTTTGCCCATTCCTGGTTCAAAGCAATTCGAATTCAAAAGTAATTAAAATTTGTTTCCGACTGCAGCTTATTTACAATCTTGTTCATATTTTTGCGATGTTTGTTGAGGTCCAATGTGTGCTTTTCAAAGTTAAAATAAAAAGGAAATATTTCTAGAAGCTAGTACAAACGAAAATTTGCTCAAGTTGCTTGAAGGATAAGCAATAAATGGTTTATTTGTGTGCGTCGTGTGAAGCAGTCACCACTAAGCTGTCCAATATTGAATCTGCCTGGCTGACAGCCTCGCCATGTTCGTACATATTGTTGTCTACCGTACTAAAAAAAGTGTATTTTAGTGTGTATAATGAAGTTTCCAGATCATATTATATAATTATATTTTAACGTAAATTGTTTACTAAGATTTAAAAATTATTAATAAAATGAATAGACATTGCGAATTGTCGATAAATCTCTCGTTGTCACTATTCAACTGTCCTAAAAAGTTGCAAAGATGAGTCAAATTTGTTAAAGTTTAAAAATACTAAAAATAATTTTAATACATTTGGAAGTGAATTTATAAATTTTATTTGTTGAAAGTTAATTATTTTTTGGTAGAACGACACTTCAGAATATAAAATTCCAATACATAAATTTTTGTTTTTAATTTTGATACCTTAGTGCAGGGGGGCAAACTTTTTGTTGTGAGGGCCACATTGAGATCTATTTCACCATTAAAGGGCCGCCTGTGCACTCAAATAGCAAATATTTTTGACCCGGAGAAGAATTTTTGCAAGGTTTGTGTATGGCTGGCTTTTATTTTGGTCAGAAAGCCTGGCTGACGAACGACCGTTTTTTTTGGCGAACATGGCTTCGCGGGCCGCATAAAATAGCTTCTCGGCTCTAATTTGCCCACCCCTGCCTTAGTGGATTCATGCTCTTTAAAAATTAGTGTGAACTTTTTTGATAATAATTTTGCTATAAATGTTAACAACCAATCAAAAATTATTAAATTCAATAATCGAAAAAAATTTAAATAAAACTATATACAGTAATTTATAATAAATTAAGCATCATATTTTTAATCTAATCATATTTTATTGTCAAATTTTTAATAAACTAAATGTGAAACGTTATCTAGTATTTAGATCAAATTAAAGAGCTTTCGAGATAAACGTGATTCACAACATTGAAATATCTTACATTTTTGGGATTCATAACACATTGCATGCAAGTTACTTCGAAAGTGGAAACAAAATGCATAGCAATATATCGTTTCAGAAGTTTAATTTCACTTTATTGACAAACTATATTTAGATAATAAAATAAGTTTTAAAATAGTTAAATAGACAAAAATATAGCAGACGTTTAAACATAAAGAAGATGGAATTGTTTAAAAAAAATTTTTACAATTGAAAATTTAATTTTGACACATCTGAACGACGTCTCCGTGATTCAACTTGGTGTTGGTGTAAGCCAGTGAGACCAATCCGAAATCACTGGCCCTGTGGGTTGTTTCGTTTAGTTTGGGCTTACAACAGGCGCCACTGAAGTAGTAGTTGAAGTGTCGTTTGAAATCCGAACTCATCATGTAGAGGACGGGGGGGTTGATGCAGGAATTAACAAACGACAACAAAAAAGCCAACAGCTGGAATGATTTTCGACTCTCGTATGCAACGTTTAAGTAGTTGGTGGTGAAGATGAATATGTGACGAGGTGTCCAACAGATGACGAAACAGAGAACCAATATGATGACTATCTTGGCTATCCGCTTTCTTGCCACCAGATGCCTCTTAGTCAGGTTGCCGTCCAAACGAAGATTCGCAGCACCTGCTGGTGGCTTTCGCAGAGAAATCGCGATGGCGACGTACATTGAGGTGACCAGAGTTAAAGGAATGATGTAATAAACGAATAAGTTGACGATGCGCCTAACCAACGTGTACCTGTTGAACTCCGTTGAGCCGTACCGAAACACGTGGTAAGTGTTGCACCATGTTAAAGTTTTATTTGTAGAGGAGGTTGGATCGTAGAACGAGTGCACTTCAATTCCGCTCGTCATGATATCTGGAAACGCAAAAACAAACGCAAGTATCCAGATGGCAATTGTGATGACAACCGTCTTCTTCTTTGAGTCCCAGCCGAGAGATCGCATGGGTAGGACGATGGCTCGAAACCGATCGCCGGCCAGCGCTGTCAGCGTAAAAATTGAAACTCCCTGTGACAGTGTAATAATGAATTCCTGCAGGACACACATTGTGTTGCCGAACCTCCAATCATTGTAAATGTAGGCGACCGATCTGAGTGGTGGACTGACGCAGACGAGGAGGAAATCACCAATGGCCACACTGAGGAGGAAAATGTTTGGGAGGGTGAGCATGGTGGATTTACTCAAAATGATGAGTATTATCAATCCATTGCCGAGTATTCCGAAGAAGGAAATGGCCAGTAACATGAATGGTGCCATGTTTTCCACGAAGTTGCTCTCTTCCTCATCATCGTACGTTATGTTTTGTTGCCGGAGGTCTTCAATTGGAGAGTCTGTTGAGTTGTTTGAATTGATTATATCAAACACGGAGATGTTCATGTTCCGAGTGCTGTGTGTGTGTGTGCAATCCGTTTGTAACTCATCAATGGAAAACTAATTAGGGCAGGTCCATGTTGAGAGCAGTCGCTACAAATTTTTAATCAAAAATTTTATTTTTATAGTTGAATAATAAATTTATCAGCTATGTTACAGTTCAAAACCTATTCGAAATATTGTAACAGTTATCAAGTTTTTTTGTGATTTATTGAAAAACTGATGCAACCATTTAAACTTATTTAAAAATTTTCATTCTACTTTAATCTTCATTTAATCTTTAACTTGAAACTTCAAACACCGAATGTTTGAAATACATTGAAACATGTTGTTGTAGAAATGTTATATCAAGTTTTCTGCTTAGTATAAATAAATAAAGTTAGGATATATAAATGTATATAACACACACATTATATATGTATAAGTATAAATGTAAAAGTATATATATATATATATATATATATATATATATATATATATTGCATCTTTCCAAACGTGTTATATGTAGCATTTCTCATGTTTTTAGTAGTAAGTCATCCAAATGTTTACAGAGTTCATTCACATAGGCGAGCCAGAAAAGTTTGAAACATTCATCAAAAAAATTATTTTTGACTTTAAAACGTAGTTTAAATAGAATTTCATGATAAATGGTTACAAATTTCTTCCTAAAAACGTCAAAAATGGCAATAACCTCAAACTGAAACATTCACACAGTTAATTAGTTTAATTAGAACGAACAGCAATGAATCAGAAAGGTGCATGGGTGGAAAATGCACGAACCTGTTCCAGTAAGAAGAAACAGTGGACGATGAAGACGCGTTATATTATATATACAAACGTTGGCTGACTTTGTAAACATTTCAAGAAGGGAGTTTGTGTTCGTGTTTGCTCCAAGAAGATTGATGCGATACCGAAGAATAAAGGGAAAAAACATGAAGTGTCGATGATCAGATAGGCAGAAGATAATAACACGCATACACATAGACACGCGCTTATATAAGAAAGACAAAATGGTATGAGGAAGAAGAAAAAAGGGAAAGAAAGAATGAAAGAGAGAGAGAGAGAGAGAGAGAAAGAGTGCTAACATTTCAGAAGCACAAGCACACACACACATAGACATTCTTTTAAAAGTTAATTGGACTGAACAAGCGAACAAACATTTGCAGTCAGGCGGAAGGATTGATGATGCATTCGCCCATTTCCGCATGCTATTTTTTCTCAGTGGAAATAAAAACAAAGCAAAACATTGATTTAACAGGATTTCTTTTATAGAACAATGTAAAATAAAAACAAAAAACAAAAGACTTTCTGAACTAAAAGTTTATAAAAACAACACAATTAATTATTAATTAATTAATTAATTTAAAAATTGAAATCATTCAACATTGTGCGTACATATTAACGAAGCCAAGAAAATTATCAGAACAAAACAAGGACAGGAAACAATCAGTGAAACGGAATATTGGCCAGTCATGGTCCGCTGAAGAAGAAAAATTTAATTTCTTGAAATCAACTCCAAGTGTACAACAAGTTCAGTGTTTCAATCAAAAATGTACCTAAATGTTCTTAACTTGAAAAGACTGTACAGTGTACACGCATGAACGAGAATGTTACATGAAGACGAATTAATCCAAAAAATATCCAGATCCTCTTTGCAAAAATGTCAGTTTAAAAAATAAAAATGCTAGAATAAAATTTTTGTAAGGTAAAATAAAAAATAAAAAAAATAAAATGTAAAATAAAAAACAAGACAGCTGAACAATTGTTGAGAAATGACACAATGAATCATGCAGTTATTTAACCTTATCTTTCTGTCTCTAGGTTATCATGTGCTATTTATTGTGATATGAGTGAAATAATTTACTATAAATAAACAAATATGTACACGCACAGATCAGACACACACTACTCTCTCTCTCTCTCTCTTTCTCTCTCACAAAAAGGTATTCATTGGTTGGTTCATTGAAATGTTTTTTCATCAATCAATCTTTACAGAAGAAAACAAATAACTCAATCATGTGTGTCTGCTTCATTCAAGACATCCAGGAATTAGCTTAGAAGGATTTTTAAATAATAATGCTCAACAAACGTTGATTTAAAGTGCGTGTGTGTGTATTATTGTAGGCGTTCCTGTGAGTGTGTATGTGTGTATTCGTTAATGTGTGTGTGTAGTGTGTGTGTGTGTGTGTAATGTTTTTGTGTTGTGTGTGTGTTGTGTGTGTGAGTGGGTGAGTGAGAGAGTGTGAATGAATGAGTGAGTGAGTGAGTGAGTGAGTGAGTGAGTGAGTGAGTGAGTGAGTGAGTGAGTGAGTGTGAATGAGTGAATGAATGTACATGAACATATAAGTCGATTTAATCATATGCGATGAATACATCACTCAGATAAAAGTGTATACACATTTGCGTCTACTGTATCACGTCTTATCTGTCTTCTGCAGATTTCCAAACCAAATCGTGATCACGGCTCGTTGACATGTAACATGCATACATGAGAATTTGTGTTTGTGATGTTGATGTGTCTATAACATATGATTTAGCTGCCGTATTTAACTATGTTACACCTTCAGTTGTTGTCTATTTCATGTCTATGTCGTGTCTATGTCGATGTCTATGTCTATTTCAAGGTCTAACTATTTCAGTTTAAGTTTTTTGAATACAAATCAGAAAATGTTTTTTAAACTTTTTTACTTCAATGGCTACATTGACGAATATGTAGTAGAACATTTTCAGGAATTATTAAATAAATTTAATCAATTTGAAGTTTATCATTAAAATATAGTTTTATTTTAATAAATTATTTTATGTTTTTTATCATCTGGAAGAACGAAAGTTAAAGAAAAACACATCAAGGTCTTAACAACTGAGTTGTTGTGTCTTAAATCATTTGTGTTAGTTGCAACATAACTAACCCGACTATATTTTTGTGTTAGTGTGTGTGTGTGTGTAGTGTGCGGGCTTGTGTATGTGTGTGTGAGTATGAATGTGTGTGTGTGTGTGTGTGTAGTGAAGTGTGTGTATGTGTGTGTGAGTGTATGTGTGTGTGTGTGTGCGTGCGTATGTGTGTGTATGTGTTGTCTGCATTTTTTTCAAACATGTACAAAGAAAACAAACATTTTAATTAGAAGCAATCAACGAACCAAATGAGAATAATTAATATAAAAGTAGTAGTAGTAGCAATAATAGCAATAATAATAAACTACAAATTTAAAAAAAGATAACAAAAATAATAATAACAAGCAATAATAATAACATAAAACACTCAAAAAAACAATAATAAATGGAAATAATAATAAAATACAAATTTAAAAAGGAATAACAAAAATTATAATAAATAACGCATTCCATGCAACACCTTGTTTCAGTCTTTGGTGATGTTTATTGCATTTTCTTCTAATTTTTACAACACTCGCTCTTCACTCACTCACTCCCTCTAATTCATTTTTTTCCATTTTTTTTTTGTATTTTGTATTTTCAACAACACCTCAGAAGCATTCGACTCACACAAACAAATACACATTCACACATACACAAATATTCAAACACACACACACATACATACTCTCACATAACCCTGACTGACACAGGCAAACACACAAATCCACTCACGCACACACACACACGCACACACACACACGCAAACATATATTTGTTACTAAAAAAACCGAAAAACCAAAAGCAAATCCAAACGTGTTTCTAAATTTCTATAAAAAATATTTTTCTTGATAATTTTGTTATAAAATTATCTTCATCTGTGTAGAAAATCACGAACGTTTTATGTACAGAAATAATTTAACGTAAGTGATCGTTAAAAGTGTGATTAATGGAGACTTCGTTTTTAAATTTTCCTGAAAAATAACTGGAATGCTGGTTTTGTTTACTGAACATGATGCAAAATCTATACTAAGTGTTATAAACTCACAAGAGCGTTCTTGTTAAATGTATCATCATATTGATATCAAAAATACGTGAAAACACTTTGTATTGATATTAAAATACATAAAAATAAAATGCATGCATACATGAATGCATACAAAAACGTTCTGTCGATACAGAAAATACATACAAGTGCATTGTATTGATATAAAATACATAAAAACAAATTGTAGGCATACAAATAATACATTGTTCTTACACGACAATACATAAAAAGACATATTTTGGTCTAAAATACACAAAAACACGTTTTATTTATATATATATATAATATGAGATTAATAAAGTTTTAATAATGTAAATAATTCTAATAGAATGAGAGATAATAAATCAAAGTTGCAATGTAGTTGAAAATGTTTTGCTAGATAACATACGCGAGATCAGATGATTATGAAAGGATGCTTCTGCCGAACTAACAGTTAATCAGACGTAAAGTTTTTAAATTTGGCAATAAATTAAATTGAACTAATCTGTAGATTAAATATTAGTAAAATCAAAAATTTAAAAACCTGTTTCTAAGTTTTATTATCAATTGAAAAAGCAAAAATAAAAGCAATTAATCATTCAGCCAAACTCAATCATATCAACTATATTTCTTATCAACACAACTTTTCATCTTGAAAAATTTTAAACCACTACCAATAATCCATCCAATAATTAGTATTTTTGACAAATATGCCTAGAATCCAGCGTGTTTGCGTAAATACATTAACAAAATTTCATAATTTTGATGAATTATTCAAGAACATTTTATCAAGGACCTGTTTCCGCGACACTCTGGGAATGGGATTAGACTGGGAGTGAAAACTGAAACAAACCCAGGATAAACATTCCGTCACGTAGATAAAAATACTTTCCAGCAATTATTGAAACAATAAATACTCACATATTAAAGAGAAAAAAAAATTATTTGCTTACGAACATAAAATAATAAAGAAACAGAAATGATAAATTGTAAATTCCTTAAAATAAGTTGGTAGTATCAATTTCACGATCATCCATTCGTTTGCTCCTTCATTCATTTTTCCTTCCTTCCTTCCTTCCTTTATTCATTCATTCACTCAACAGTTGCCTGCTTGAAAGAAGAGCACCCGCCTGGTAACAAACACCACCATACACACACACACACACACAAACACACCACCACACACACATGATTTCACGTGAACTGACTGTATGTATGCATGTATGTATGTATGTATGCATGTATGTATGTATGTATGTATGTGCCTTTCGTCTTTTTTAATGGAAAGTGTGTTTACGAACGGTCATAAAACCTCCCTGTCTGTCTTTCCTCTTTAGATCAACATGCAACTAAACTAAAACACGTGCGTCTGCAGATTTGTATTGAAGAAAATAACAGATTACATCATTCATTTAAACTAACTGATTTTGGCTAGCATTAAAAAGACTTTGATATTAGTGAAGACTGTTCAAAAACTCATAAATAATAATTTCTTAATCTCGTGTAGAATGCTTTGAAGCGTGTATGTCTATGTGCATGTATTAAACAGAATCAGGTCTGATGATATCAACATTCTTGTCATTCTCGTTATGATCTTTTACATTTTCTGCAGAATAAAGCTGGATGTTTATACTGGATTAAGTAACATTTAAACAACCGATATAAGGCGAACATTCACCCATTAAAACCTTAAAATGTTACTGAGTTAAATGAGTTGTAGCCGGTGGAAAGGACTCAGAAGTCTTTACAGGATTTAAATTGAAAATTTTTAGAGGTAGGTTAAGTTTTTATTTATAGTTTTTATTTATATTCCAAGTAGTGATGGTCGAATTGCTGCCAGCACAGAGCCATATTTTAGAGCAGGAGTGGGCAAACTTTTTGTTGTGAGGGCCGCATTGAGAACTATTTTACCTCTGAAGGGCCGCATATGTACTTTTCAACTCGGAGGAGAATTTTTTTAAGATTTGTGGTTAACGATCTTTTTTGGCGAACACCCAAAGTTTGCCTTCCCCTGTTTTAGAATATGAATGTCGGCTAATAAAGAGATTAATCAATATTTATAGAATATTCCTCTAATGTACAGTAAACACATGCAAGCAAACACGTACATGTTTATACACAAACACACGTGTGAAAAAAAGCATTGTTTATACAATATAAAGTTAAATGCCAATGATGGAAGCGTTAAATTAATATTATTTCATTTATATATAAGTGATATTTTAAATCAAAATTAGTTTTTGGATAGTTTATTTTTCTTAGTTACTCGTAGTGCTCTGATCAGATCCACCCAAATTAGAAGGTGCATAGTGTAAAATAATATAATTTGTTTCAGATGTTGAATTGAAGATGGATAGCTTTATGATAAAATGAAACACGCACGTAAAGATTTCAAAATTTTAAGACCATAGTTCAAATGAATGTATACATGTTAGTCAGATGGATGTAACGCAACACTGAACGTTTATTATGGAGCAGTTGCATGTATGTTATATTATATATGCGAAATGTTATGTGTGGAATGAAATGCTTGTTGTTATTTGTCATGCATACAACTCAAAACTGAAAATAGTTTCAACGATAAATATTTCATTTGGATACGTTCGTTGTTGAATCTACTCAGAATTCTGGGAAACATCACCAACACGAAATCGGATCTCAATAACACGAACATAAAATCCTCATTTTGATTAATTTATTGCAATCATATAAACACTAAACATAACGTTTACAGAAACAAAATTTGATTAAACAAAGTTGAAAAAAGTGAGAAAAAGTCGAATGCAATTAAATCTCTCATCGATAAGATAAATAGAAACAAATAATATCTTTTGCAGCTGCCTAGCCTGATAAATTTCGTAATTATAGCCGATAACAAAATTCATAACTCGTGCAAAAATTGCGAAACAGCATTCGCGTTGTAACAATATAATGAAATTTTAAAAATGTTTTGAATAAAAAAATAATTGGAACAACAAACTATTTCCCCAACATGTTCTAACAGGAAATCTGTTTAAAACGAAAAATAGACACACACACACAAACACACGCACACACACAAGCACACACACACAGGCACACACACACAAGCACACACAGGCACACACATACACACAGGCAGCAATAATAAGCACATGAAGATTAATATCGTCAATATCATCACGTCGTGCATTGCATCTTGTTGGATTGTTAGCTGAATAAACAAGCTTGTTTGTTTAATTCCGTCGACAATACAACGATTGGCGTTGATATTCCCATTATTTACTGCTTCCATAAACTCCACCACCAGTCAAGATTTCCACGTGATGCGCTTTTCCGTTAAATAATTTGTAATAGGCTTCCAGGAATAAACTGGTCAGCGCATAAGTTCGGTGGCCGTGGTTGTACAAAAGATGAACGTGGGAAGTTGCGAAGGGGTTTATTTTTGTTTGCAGTGTCGATGGGATTGCATGGAATCAGTTGCTGTTTTAAATCAATTTTTATGTACTTTGAGGCTTTAAGTGTTTTTATGACTTGTCCAAAATGTTATTTTGGCTAGTAGTGGTCAAAAAGTAGAGCAAATAAATGGACAATGGAAGTAGAATGTTAAGAGTTCGTTCATAAGAAAAGTTAAGTCAATTTAAATTTAAACTGAAAGCTAAATCTTGTGATAATTTTGCGTTAACACTCGCATGCACTGCACACACAAACTGTGTGAACAATTGCATCAGGATAAAACTCCACCACAAGTAACGATGGCGTATTTTTATTGGACACGTCAGGCAGCAACGTCAACCGGTCAGTTTCATTACACACTGTTGCCGATCGTTGTTACAGGCTGGCTATTTCGTTTGGCTACACTTAACGGATTTAGCACCTATAACATTCATGTTATCTATCAAATATCAATGTATTGAAGAGGCATGTTAATGTTAGCGTGGCCACTTTTACCGGTTTCTACGTATATATAACAGCCACAGCGGCATGCTAATGCTAGGTAGTGGATACTCAACGCCACTTTTGGTTTGACCTCTCTTTGTGCCACTTTTGGTTTGACCTCTCTTTGTGCCACCGTGCCATGATTATTTTCACCTTCTTGAAATTTATTTTCCAGCCAGTTTCGGGCCGCTCCAAAAAAAGATTTCATTGTTAGTTGTAGCGTAGTATTCGTTAGGGTGGTTATAATTTCATTATATTAAGCTCTGAAGCACTCAAAGTATTTTTTTAGTAATTTATATAATTAAGTACAACAACTGAAGACCAAATATGTAGAATGTTTTATCGTGGGTACCACGAGATATCATTGTATAAAATGTACATAAAATTTTCAAAAGTTGAAACCGTTAGATGAACGAAAATCAGAAACAGTTCATGAAATGCAATTTTCGACGATTTGAATTACTTAATATCTTGCCTAAATCTGCTACGACAGCATAAACATTAAAATAAAATTAAGTCAACTGAGTTCTGTTCATGAAGATCTGGTGAAATACATACGAAAATTCAACGAGATTATAGCGTCAAACATCTGAGACATCCCAAAAAGACGACGAATGCATACGTAGGTTGAAAATAATTAAAATAAAGAGAACTTATACGAGGACAAATAATAAAGAAAAAATGAAAAAAAGAAACTGCGACAATTAATTATTCACTAGTTTTTTTTTCAATTTTTACATATAGGCGGCCCAGCCAAAATACATTTGGCATAAGTTTTTCTCATCCGTGGCTTCCTGTAGAAAAAGGTCAAAGGTCATTCAATGTATACAGACATTATTTTATTTAAATTTATTTTATAAGGATTCTAAAATGTACATTCTAGTATCTTTAATATGTAAATAGAAAAGAAAAGTTAAAATTTAAAAGATATATGTAAATAAAAAATATCAAACAATAATTTATTGCACATATTAAAACAAAAATAACGGAGTTTTTTTTTTAAAAAAATAAAATGAATAGTTAGTAAAGAGAATGCATGCAATCCTTAACATCGCTCTTTCAAACACGTTTCATTCACTTATTTGTTCAACTCTATTGAAAATGTTCACCTCCTTTTCAATTAAAACGACGTTAACACATATTTTCCTTTAATGACACAATTTTTAATCTTAACTCGGTCTCAAAAATAACCTTGATAAGACTGCTAACTTGACCCTCCACGGACAGAGGAAATCCAATCATCTTGCTCTTCAGCGAGCCTCTCAGTCTGTTCTCGATGTTATTTACGTGTGTCTGAGCCTAAAAGTGAAATTTATCTCTAGTTATTCATTTATTTATTTATGTATTTATTTACTTATTTATTTATTTATATATTTCAACTCAAAAATTTCACTACAACATAAAAATCGAGAAGAATGACATGATTGGATGATAAGAAGAATTGATTCTTGTTAGTTAGTCAGTTAACTAGTTATGATAGTTAGAGTTAGTCAGTAAGTTAGTTAGGCGGGCCACCATTTAAAAACACATCCTACTTGGACGAACACACACACGCACACACACACAAACCCAACCACTGCACCTGTTCATTTCTGATCTCTCCGGTCTCTTTCGGGTTGTTCCTACCACCGGCTGGCTTCTTCCATTCGACCAGGGGATCAAATATGAAGGTCTTTAGGACGCTGTTAGTCACGTGGTACGGTACGGAAGTCAGTCATGTTGCTAATGTGGTAAAAAAAGTGGTAAAATGTGGAAAGGCGCCACCTACCTCATCAGGGAGTCCATCTCCTCCCTCATCACCCTCATAGTGACCTCACATGACTTCCGGAATATGCCCTCGTAACCCAGTGCCCCCTGTTTTATTAAATAAATAAAAAAAAAATAATAATTTTTTTTTTACAATTCTTTCTTTTGTATTGTACATTTCAACAAGGTATCGACAACTGACACAGTGTGTATTTATATACGAGCTAACCAAAGCGTCATATAAATTGAATAAAATCGTAACGGTAAAATATATGTGATGAAATAGGAAAAATATCATCGTAAGTGTTGTTAATATTAATAGGAAAAAAATCAAATAATTTCCATGTTCTGATCATAAATAATGTCTTTATTGGTCGTATATTTATAGGAAAATGGTTGAAAGGTTAAAAAGTTCAAAGGTCAAAAGGTTATCCCGACCATAGCGTCGATCATGTTGTGGGTTAGTCGGAATGGTACAAGCTCTGGGTAGTCAAACTGCTCACCCTGGCGTGTGAAATTAAAATTAAATTTCTAATCTGACAATCGATCAATCAATTAATACTAATTAATTAATTAACTAATTATGTAATCGATTAAATTACGATTAATTATATTACATAGAATAGATAATCATAAAAAATCTGAAATGATAATGATAATACTGATGTTGATGATAACAAACAGCAGATGAATACACACCACACACACACATACACGCACGCACACACGCACACACACACGTGAGTGCATACCATTCAAGTTCTGTCTTGTTTACATTAAAACTTCTTACAGAATCATTCAGACGCAATGAAATCCCAAGTGCCGAACGATTTATAAAAATTAACAGGTTGAACTATCACTACTTACAATAACTTTAAACTGTCAATCAAAACATTCAACTCTGGTTGCAAGTTAACCACTAGTGCTAGGACGTAACTAAACCGTTAAGGGAACTTCATAAACTTTTTTCATTACGCTTCTTTCAACCGCAACAGAATAACGTAACGATCACAGAATGAACAATGGTGGTAAAGAAACTTAAGTACCATTTGTACGCACGATATATTACAAATGCCGACATTCGACTGGCTGAAAACTGCAACGTTTCGACATCTATTGACAATATCTGTTTAATAATTCCTACTTCAACTTCTTGACTAGGGCTGTCTGAGTTAATTGAAGCCCTTCACAAACGCCGCACAAATGAACAAACATCGGCGCGAACGAGGATTGAACCGGCAACCCACCGTAGAACAGACCGACTCCGCACCGCTAGACTATAATATTTTAATCCGATTTATTAAAAAACCAAATTACGCGAAGAAAAATATTACAAAAACGAAATTGAAACTAAAGAGAGGAACGAACCTTGTTAAATAAGCAACTGAAATCAACATGGACGCAATCGCCGCAGGTTGAATCGAAAAGGATGTTCTCGCCGTGCCTGTCCCCCAAACCCAGGATGTAGCCCACCATGCTCATCACGGCCGTCGTTCGACAGTAAGAAAGTCTCGCGCTGTACCTGGGGTGGTGATGGGGAGGGAGGTGGTGAGAGGAGGGGGTGATGATAAGTAGGGGAGAGGTGATGGTAAGGAGGGAGGTGATGGTAAAAATGATATATACAGTCGGTCAGGATGCATCGTGCAATCGTTGTCGGCATCATCGTCGTTATCATCATGACCGTCCGCAGGCAGCCTGCCCTCAAATCAACCCATCAACAAGCTCAACCACACAATTCAATCAATCAATCAACCAGAAAACAAACCGACCAATCAAAAACTCAACTCATCCAACTAACCAGCCAAACAACCAACCAACCACGAAGCAGGATCTGTGAAGGTCTTGACGAACCACTCACTGAAGACGGGTGGATGTCGAGTGAGGAGTTTTTCTTTGAAGATCATCAACTTCTTCCTGTTTCATAACAATCAACCTTTCAAATCATCAACCGGTCAAGCAATCAATCAATCAATCAATCAATCAGTCGAATTTGCTCGCCTTCCTGACCCTAAATTTTCTAGCACTAGACAAGTGAGAAGTTAGCTCAGAAGACGAGAGTACCACGTCTCACGTTTTTATTGCGTACTCACCTGGTTCAAATGCTAGCGTAGCAAAACCTTAAAACTATCAGATGTTATGCTCACATACAAATTTAAATGTATGTCGTGTGTTACAGACTTCGCATCAAAATCTGAACTCGTATGTAAGGAGCTTTATATAATAAGCAGTCCAATAAAGAAGCCGTGCAAAAATTAAATATATGGACCAAGAACAAAAAGATGTATTCTACAGCAAACTGAATAGAGAACATGTGGATGAATAAGCCAAGAGACTAACTCAATTATTTCTTTCGGTGCAGTCTGTAGTAACTTGAGCTCCTTACCAGACATGTACAAGCCTGTGTGTGTGTGAGTGTGTGTGTGTGTGAATTTGTGCGCGCGTGTCTGTGAGTACATATGTTGTGTTTGTGAGTGTGTGAAGATGATGTGTTGTTTCTTGACTTTAAAAATTATTCCAGTGATAAGTTTGAAAAAAATAATTTTAACAAATCAAAAAACAAAACAAATGAACATAAGTAAACATGCACATAGCACAACCAACACACACACACACGCACACACACGCATATACACACACACAAGCGCGCAAACAAATGTCCAAATAAACAGATAAAAATAAAATCTCAACTTATAAAGTGCCCCATGTAGTATAGCATTTAATTCATGGAGACTCCTAAGCCCAGCGCCAGACAAACCCCTAAAAATTTTTTTATGATAACACCTCCACCCATGAAAAAAATAGTACCCACCCTTCTCCTTGTACAGTTTGAGTAGGATCGGCCTCAAGCCCGTCGTGTTAGGGACCCACTCAAGCATGCCACAATCCTCGTCCAATGGCGTCACTGTCTGCAATCACATGATGAGTGGAGTGATGATGGTTATGACGGTGATGATGATTGTTGGTCACGGTGATATCACGCAAGAAATGAAGAACTTTGATGAAGATGAGGACACCGATGACTATGAGAACAGTTTCGGCAGTTGCAACAAGAGGATAGAAGATCAAATAAATATTGATGGACTAACGAAGGTTCTAATATGAAGATTTCTCCGTCTGGAGTTGAAGTTCTTCTTGAGGCATCTGTTGACGATGCCTGTGAACTCCATGAGACGTGCGTCTTTCCTCAAATCATCCTTTTGCCGAGTGTGTGTGTGTGTGATTGTGTGATGAGTATTCGAAGAAAAAGTGGATGAACTCTCATTGAAGCGAATCAACCATTCAATCAGCTAGATATTCAACAATCTACAAAGCCTACCTTTGAATCAGTTCGCAAAAACAACTGACCGACTAGCAAACTAATCAACCAGCCAGCCAATCAACCAGACAAACAACCAGCCAGCCAACCAACCAGCCATCCAATTAACCAACCAGCCAGCCAGCCATCCATTCAACCGACAAACCAACAAACTCACCTTAGGCTTACACAGCATGACGTATTTCTTGCCATCACTCCCTCTGAATGTCACCTTCTTTGGTTTTTGCAATGAAACAAGCACATCCACCTAGAACCACAAAGAATAAGACATAAAAATCCAAAAAAGACACCAGTGATTTACCAGAAAATGTATATGAACAAGAGAACATCAACAAACCACATCCCCGCCAAAATCAACATCGAAACGACTACAACAACGACGACAAAAACAACAGCAACAACAACAACAACGACACCAACACCAACAGCAGCAACAACACCAACAACGACAAAAACAACAACAACATAACCAACATAATCTTCGATACCAGCAATGTAAACTGCATTCCTCGTGCACTGGACTTGATCTGCTGACTCAGGGATTTGAACGTTGGGGAGGACCGGAGTCATCTGGCTCTCTAGAGGCATCAAGATCTGGCTCAAGTCTCTTTAAAAATGTTTGTATGTTTCTTTGTATGTATACACAACTGCATGTGTGTATATGCAATCAACCAATCAATCAATCAATCAATCAATCAATCAATCAATCAATCAATCAATCAATCAATCAATCAATCAATCAATCAATCAATCAATCAATCAATCAATCAATCAATCAATCAATCAATCAATCAATCAATCAATCAATCAATCAATCAATCAATCAATCAATCAATCAATCAATCAATCAATCAATCAGTCTTCGTTTTGCGTCCAGAGACCCGGTTTCCCGAGGTAGGACGTTTGTATGTATATATGTTAGTATGTATGCACAACTGCATGTGTGTATGTATGTGTGTGTGACGATCGTTGGATGCTACAAAACTGGCGTTGGAAATATAGAGAGATCATTGAAGATTATAACATTAGTGTCTGTAGTAACGAGCGTCAAAGCTCACAATAATATAGATAAAAAAAAACAAATAAATAAATTAATTAATTAAAAAATAGATAAATCTATCAATAAAACAAATGTAAATAAATTAACCAATAAATTAAAGTAACAAAAAACAAATTATACTAACTTATCAGATAGGAACCTGAATAGTGGCTTGAAGATGTGTGATATGTTGACCGTCGTTGATGATGTTTCCTTCAGGTCTTTGTTGCACAACTCGATCAAGAAGTCTGCAAATTTTGTTGAGTCCTAAGTAAAGTGAATAAACAAACAAACAAATAAATAAACAAAAGAAACATGGCAAATATTAATAATGATAAAAGCCTCAGGTAACTAAAAATCTTGAAAAAAATGCATATATGACAGCAGAATCAACTGTGTATGTAAATAGCAATAAGAAAACTACATAACAAATAACCCTGACCTTATTTAACTCGAAGCTTTTGTTTAATGGGATATATTAAATAAAATGATTTAAATTAGAAATTAAACTAACGTGAAGGAACTTAGTGAGTTCGGGTTTCACAGATCTGAAATGGGACCAAAAAAAATTCAATCACAAGAAATTAATTTTAAATGAAATAAATAAAATAAATAAATAAATAAATAAAATACAATAAATAAACAACGAAAACCTAAAATAAAAAATTGAAAAATGACAAGATTAGCAGTAATTATAAACTTTTAGGTGACATTGATTAATTTTATATGATGAAATTGTAGATATGGAAACTTTAAAAATAAAAAAAACTCAAATGCAATCGTGAAAAATGTGAAAAAAGAAATACAAACAATGTCATAATTACATACGGTTTTACTCCTTTGAAAATTTATAAAATTCATAAAAAGACAATTAGTAAAATTCTTAACGCAATAATTAACAATAATTATATAATAAATTACTTATTATTATTATTGTTATATAATTAATAATATAATAACGTAAAAAAAAATAAAAAAGCGAAAAAGGGAAAAAAAAGAAGTCGACCTAGCTTTGTTAAAGATTTCCTGACACTTTCTGCTCCTTACTTGGTAGGAGGACTATTGTTTGATTGGTTGATTGATTGATTGGTTGGATAGTTTATCGACTAATTAATTGGATGGTCAATTAATTGAATGCCCGAGTGATTGGATGGATGGCTGGTTGATTGGTTAATTGGATGAATAATTAACTGATAGATTGGCTGGTGGTTGTTTGAGTGACTGATAAATGGTTCTTTGAGTATTTGATTGACCAAATGGAATTAGTTGACATAGGATCTAAACACTCATCCATCTATCCATCCATCATTATTCATTTTTCTACCCATCCGTCCAACATTTCATTTATTATCCCTCCTTCCATCCATCCACCCATCCATCTATCCATCCATCCATCATTCCTCCACCTTGGACACCGCCACCATCAACCACATGGCTTGTTGCGGATAATCTCGTAGCACCTTCACCACAATATCCTGCAAAGTGAGAGTATGAAATCTAAGCAATGATTGACTTCTTCAAGCCGATTTTTAACAACTTTAAAATTTTAAGTTTAAATTATTTAGTGAAATTAATTAATTCTAAATGAAAATAATTATGGAAATTTAATCAAGCTCTAATTAGAATAATCGAGAATATTTTAACTTTTCTAAACGGAAATCTAAAACATTTTAAACTTCACTAAATTTATTTATAAAATTTTTTATATCTCACCAACCGACCAGCCAGCCAATCACCCAACCAGCCAGCCAGCCAACCAACTACCCAACCAGCCAGCCAGCCAACCAATCAACTAGCCAGCCAGCCAACCTTCAAAAGATTGAAGACATCAATTCTAGTGTGGCATATTCGAGATATTAATTGAGGTAGAACGACAAGGAGTTGAAATGAAGACAGCCTCGACCTTGCTGTGTTCACCGCCTGTTAGTTTACACACATAGAAACATTTTTACTTCAAATTCTCTATATTTTTATCTTGAATGTTAAATTGAAAACTAAAATTATTTAAACATTTTAATCAAATTAAATGTACATAAACGTATTTAGATGATAATCAATAAAAACCTCTTTTCAAATGGTTTACCAAACAAATGTCTACACATACATACATGTATATATACACGCGTATGTGTTCATATATACACGTATATGTATATGCATATATACACGCACATGTGCATCTCACCATGGGGAATATATAAATCCAAACACACACAAATATAAATGGACGATAAGTTGAGTCAAATAACCCTTAATAAAACTAAACAACCCACAAGCGATGATGAACGGGCAGTAGTCAACAACGCAGCCTAAATACGCAGAGTAAATGTCGAAGCATGACAATGTGGATAGATATTTTCAGACCATATTTTATTTTATATCAGCGAACTTAACGGTTTGTTTGAGTGTCAGAACGCGGAAGATATAAAACAAGATATATATAAGATATAGATAAAAAGCACGATTTATAAGATACAGATACAAGAGAAGATATATAGGATATAGAAACAGATAAGATGCAATTAACACCAAGTTCGCCATGCCATCGCCAGTCAAACCTTATTAATCTTGTCGATGTTTTCCTCCGAGTTGCCCGCCTCTGCCGTGAAGTCCAGCCAGAGCGTAAGGAGGCGTGGTAGTGATTGGTAGATGAAGTGGTTGCCGAACGTCAGTGACTGCATGAAGCTGCTGGTAGCTGCTGCTATGATGTTGCTGGCGTGTGGCGATGGTGGTGGTGACGTAGGTGACGATGACGATGGTGAAGGTACAAAAAAAAGAGTAGGAATGCGTTATACGTGTAAATGTGCTATAAATGCTTTTAGCTAGGAAAAATGCAACAACACATTATCAACAAACAACAACACGCAACTCAAAGCCCACGAAAACCAACCATCGCTTATCTTCAACATCCTTCTTATTATCACCCTCAATGATGTTGGTCTGCAACTTATCATAGAACTTGCCCATGTAGAAGAAAATTTCCTCAGACTTCTGGTTCAGCTCCTTAGCCTCCTTGAACATTTGCAGCAGGTTGTGCACCTCTAAGCTTGATGTCTCGTCACTGTATCGAGTCAGCTGCAACAGAAGCTGTTTGTGGTTGTTGTGATGATGGGACTGATGATGAAGCTGATGTTGAGAAGATGATGTTGAAGTTGTTGATGGGACTGATGATGAAGCTGATGTTGAGAAGATGATGTTGAAGTTGTGGTTGTTGTGATGATGGGACTGATGATGAAGCTGATGTTGAGAAGATGATGTTGAAGTTGTTATGACCAAGATGACTGTTGTAGTTTTTTTAACGTTTATATTGTCATCAATTGAAATTCATAATATATCAAACCAGTACAAGTTACAATTCGATAAAATTATTTCTCTCCAGATAGGGCTGAAAAATTATAACGATTTGAATGCAGGCAACTGCAAACCTTCCCAAGCTGATTTCTCTCCTCTCCCGGAACGTTCTTCAACTGCTTGTCGCTAGAGAGCCTCTTGTAAGCCTTCTCTAAGCTGCTGCGAGCCTCGTCTACGTCTCCCTGATTAACACGACATAACGGCTACAATAGAAGCTTCAGCAAATTTGAATACGTAATCTAGGCAATATATGTACATCAACAACAAAAGTTAAAACACTATCTATAGGTTAAAAGGTCAATCTCTCTCTTAACACACACACACACACACACACACACACACACACACACACACACACACACACACACACACACACACACACACACACACACACACACAAACATCGTACATGAAAGCACGCATCAAACACACAGCAAATGACTCTGCAATTGAACCCCCCAAACATTGCAAGACAGGACCAGACAGACGCCTCTAATCATTAGGCCATCGTTTATTTAAAGTGTAAAAAGTTAAAAAGACTAGCAACAATAAATACATTAGTACAACATCGTTAACAACAACAACATCAACAACAACATCATCACCATCAACAACATCAACAACAACATCATCACCATCAACAACATCAACAACAACATCATCACCATCAACAACAACAACAAACCCTATCCCAGAGCCACGAAGCCATCTCCATGCAGAAGTCTGCTTTGTGGTGATTGCCTGCACTCAACAGGCAACTGTGAGCCGTCTGCATCAACCCGTACCTTATGGGTTGTTTCATAATTAGTTTATTGATTGATTGATTGATCGATTGATTTATTGATTGATTAAATGTAAATAGAAATAATAATATATCTTCGTCAAAGACATTGGAATGTTATTGAAGCTGAAATTCAAAATCTCATTAGCAATCTAAATTAGTTAAGTCAATTACAACCTTTAAAAAATAATATTTATGGTTAAAAAGCCGTGCAAACCAGAACCAAACAAATTTTCGTGGATGATGATAACAATCTAATTAAACAATTAAAAACAAATGGATTGAACATGTATGTGAACAAACGAATGAACAAGTATCTGAACCAATGGACGAACATGAATCAGAACAAATGGATGAACAAATATGTGAACAAACGGATTAATACATCAGGTGAACATACTCTCTGGCCATCTTCGCCGACACGAGCCACCAATGGTTGATATCATTATTAAAATTGTGCAACGATGATGATAATGATGACGCTGACAGTGACGTCACTTCCGTCTTCGATGATTTCTTATCTTTCTTATCGCGCATCAGTGACAGCATGGCGCGCCTCAGATCCAAGATGGGAGATACGGTGCGGTAGGAGGGCTGGTGTTGTTTGTTGTTGTTGGTTGTAGCTGGTGTTGTTTGTTGTTGTTGGTGTTGTTGTTGTTACCGTTTATAATGTCTTATTGTAGTTATTTGAGTCTTAACTGTCATAGGTATTATTATTTTCTCCAGAACAAACTAACATAGAAAAATTATCACCATTTTATTTTTAAAAATCTCTCTCGGAAATCTTGACAACAAACCCACTGCGTATGTCTCTTTTCATTCGAATCCAGTCAGCGATGTAGCAATGCCAGGCACCTTAACCACTACACCAACGTGCCGCCGACATTAATGACATAATGTTGCAAATGAAAAACTTACTTGACATATTTCCAATCTCGCCGTCCACGTCTGAACCAGCTGCTGGTGTGGCTCATTCGAATGCTTCCTGTAGTAGCTATCGCCTTCGTCGTCTTCATCCAATAAAATCACATCCTCTCTCTTTGTCTTCCTCTTGTCGCTCTTGAATATATATGCGGCTGCTTCTTCCAGCTCGTTCAACATATGAAGTCTGTGCGCGTTTGTTTGTGTGCGTGCGTATCCATGTGTGTGTGTGTGTGTGTGTGTGTGTGTGTGTGTGTGTGTGTGTGTGTGTGTGTGTGGGTGGGTGGGTGCGTGTATTACATGCCGTGTTCATCAGATTAGACGGAGTAATTATGAAACAGAACAGAGCAAATAAATCAGAGTACATGGAGCAGTTGACCTTGGCCCTGATCTAACCCTAACTCTAACCTGACGACACTTTCGTAGCCCCTACTGTAGGAGCCCACCTCCATGCTGGCCGCCGATAGGGGAATGATTAGGTTCAACCTCAGTGGGGTCATTGAATGGTGGAAACTTTGCGCATCCTGAATGAATGAGGGGGTGAATGATTAGATGAATGAATAGATGAATGAGTGAGTGGGTAATAAAATAATATTTGAATTAGTGAGTAAATAAGTGAGAAAATGAATAAATAAGCCATGGAGACTATCTCCAGCCTGACTGATTAAACGAATTGGTGATGAATGAATGAATGATTGGATGCGTGAGTGAATGAATTAATTAATTAATAAATAAATAAATTAACGAAAAAATATTGTGGGTGAGTCAATAAATGAATGAATGAATGAATAATGATAGCTGCAATAAGACGAACAAGATGAACAGATAAAGTTACCACGATAACAATAAAAAAAATATTAATAATAATAATATAATAACAAAAATAATAAAAAATATAACAATAATAAGAATCATCATCATTATCATCATCATCACTACCAACTTTAGATTTAACAGCCATCAGGAGCTTTCCTAGTCCAACATTCCAATCTGTTGATGTCTTATCTTCCTGGTTTTTATGTGCATTGTATGTTGTTTGTGTTGTTGTTTGTATGTTGTTGTTGTATGTCTGTATGTAGATATGTATGTTGTTTGTTTGTTGTTGTATGTTTGCTTGCCTGTTTGTTTGTTGTTGATGTTTGTTTATTGATGTTTGTTTGTTTCTATGTATGTATGTATGTTGTTGAGGTTTGTTTGTTTCTATGTTTTTTGTTGAGGTTTGTTTGTTTTTTTGCCGCATGTTTATAGTTATGTGTTGTTTGCATGTTGTTTGTTGGCGTATGTAGTTGTTATTATGTTTACAGTTGATATGAGTTGTTTGCATGTTGTTTGTTGGTGTATATAGTTGTTGTTCATGGGATAAGCAATAGTAGGACATACAGTATCGAGGTATTGTTCCAGTAGATCCCAATGTCCCAGCTTCCACGATGCTTCCACTCTGAATCTGTTCAACTCTTTCAGTCGCGAGGAACTAGAAGATGTTCATTGCCCATTCATTGATATTCACATTTCGATAGTTAAGATTTGGAATTATATCCGTAAGAAATGATGTTGAATAAATTGATGCAGAAGAAAAAAAATAAAAATTAAGGGGTCGCGCAACGAATACAGCAACCAATGAATACATAAATGCATATTTGATTGAAAATGGTCCAACAAAGGCTAAGTAATAATTTTCTGTTTGCTTTCAGATTAACGAATAATGCAATAATTACAAAATGAAAAAGGAGAAATGAACAATTGGAATTTGTGAGCTCAGAAACATTCATTCTTCACAAACTGCCAACATGCCAAATAAAACCCACAATATAAATAACATCAATCACAATGATGAAAAAGGCACTCTACAAATAAAACATCAATCAACCAACCAACCAACCAACCAACCAACCAACCAACCAACCAACCAACCAACCAACCAACCAGCCAGCCAACTAACCAACCAACCAACCAACCAACCAATCAACCAAACAACCAATCAATCGAACTCACTCCTCGCCGATCATTCCATTTGTGAGACTGAGTACAGAGTTGAGTTCTCCATGTTGGATCTTATTCCTGAGGTGTCCCATTCGGAGTTTCATGTTGTTTGGCTCCATCTGGATGGCCCGATCGTAGCAGGTTGAGGCGTCCGATAGCTGGCCTTTGTGAAAGGAGGAAGGGGTGGTGGTGTTTCATTTAGTCATTGAAAAGATGAGATGGTCGAATTGTTAAATTTTTGTTGATTAGTTTAGATAATCAAAATGAGATTTTGTTAGCTAAAAATTAAAGATTCGAGTAGACTAGGAAAAAACCGATCAGTCAAACAGTCAAGAGATCTATCAGCGCCAACCAAACTTACCGAAAAGCGAACAAGCTAGCTAACCAATCAACCAACTAGCCAGCTGTTTAACTAGTGTAACCAACCAATCAACTAGCCAGCCAACCAGCCTATTAACCAACCAAAAGACTGACCAATCGACACAACGTTCAATCAGCCAACTAATAAACCAACCAACTGACCAATCAACCAACCAACCAACTAACTGACCAGCGAACCAACTTACCGACACTTTCATAGGCTAGTATTTGTTGAGTGAGTGAGGGGTGCGAGTCCTGCATGGACATCAGACCAGCCACCCCGTCTGGCTCGTCCAGTGCTATGTACAGTTTCTATCCGTGTTTATATAAATTGCATTGCATTGTTATAATCATTGAAACGAACAAAAACATCTTAATGGAGTATGAAAGATTTCGGGGATTTTTTTGCAATCGAATCCGGTTACTGCAACGCGAAACCAGGTGCCTCTAACAATGGCACCACCTCCCATCCAATTATATTAACATCATGATGAAACATAATTTCAATTGTTGGACTTAAACCCTCAACGTTTTTAACGTTCAATTAATGACTATTTTTTCAGTTTCATCATAATTGCGGCGTAGATAATAAATAATTAGAACGAAAACGAACGTACCAGTAAGAAATCCATGGACTGATCGTCGACCAACGATGAGGAAGACGACGACGAAGATGATGGCAATGATGACGACGACGACGATTTGATGTGTTGTTCGTGGTGGAAGAGGGACCTGGTGTAGGCGCCGCAGTTGAAGGAAGTGATGGAGAGGACGTGTTGAGGAACACGAGATAGGAACGATCCCAGCAGGGATATGTTGTGCTCCGTTACTGTGACGTCATGTTATTGAGAGGAATAGCAAGGATCGTCTTTCTTAACACCACACCACATCACATTTCATCACGTTACATAATTTGCAGTTATAAAACCAAACCACACACATATACTCACACACACACACACACACACAACACACACACACACACACACAACACACACACACAATGAATTCTATACGCTGATTCTATCACAACATCAGTGCAATATCATTCATTTACTTAAGGCCTGTACAAAGATAAATAAATCCAACAAGTCATTTTCTAATGATATAATTGACAGCATTGAATACAATATCAAATTTGTCTGGTTAACATAAGCAATCGGTCAGTAACTCATAAACATTGTTTACATTCTCAAAACCATCAGACCATATCATACCAAAATTGTCTAGAGAGATAAAAACATTTATACAAAATATATACTAATAAAAAATAAAACCAAAAAAAGAAAATAACCAAACTCGACCGATGATCAAACAAAATTAATAAGAGAAATAACAATATTTCTACGAATTATATAAAAATATCCAAAAAAAATAACTAAAATCGGCAAAGAAAAAAAAATGACCAAACTTGACTTAACGGCCTTTGATGTAGGATTGCTGGCGTCAAGAGATACAGAGTGCAGTGTCTTATTATACCTCATCCATTTGTTTAGGTGGTCAAGTAAGGTGAAGGTTGTTTGCGCGCACATGTGTTTGATGTCGGATATGGAGATGTGTTGCTGCTGCTGTTGTTGCTGTGGCTGTTGTTGCTGTGGCTGCTGTTGCTGCGTGGTGTTGCTAACCCGCTGGTTGTTGCAGTCTTCCAAAATTGTGAGGATCTCTTGCAGGAGCTGGCGAGGATGGAGTTGGCGGATTCGGAAAAAAAAATTAATGTTGGATTTTGTAACGTTCTACGTACCTGCAGCTGTCCTAATCAAGTAACAACTAAACTAAAACAAAACCTAATTAATTTGTTAGTCATTAGTTAAACAACCAACCACAACTGATCAATCAACCAATCAATCAATCAACCAACCAAATAGCCAGCCAAAATAACCAACCAAACAGTCAATAAATCAATAAATAAACTAGTCAGTCAGCCAGTCAGTCATCAATCAGTCAACCAACCAGCCAACCAACCAACCAATCAATCACACAATCAACCAATCAATCACACAATCAATCACACAACCAATCAACTAATCAATCACACAACCAATCAATCAATCACACAACCAATCAATCAAGCAATCGATCGACTAACAGCGTCAACATGTTCCTTGTCGTTATCGAGGACGACCTGGGCGACGATGTCAGGCAGTAAGAACATTGAGATCTGCACATCCGACTTGATGACACCGCAGCAGGCATTACATATATTTCGACATTTCTCTTTTTTCAACTGCAAACGCATTTGGAAACTTGCGAGTGTACGTGTGCATATGTATGTGTGTGTGTGTGAATTTGTTTGTTTGTGTGCTAAAAAGTGTAACTTTTTTTTTGTGGTACCGTGGATCCGAGGTAGCCGGTGAGGGTGGTGATCCACCGATCAAATGTCCTCCCTCTGGCACTCCCATAGACTGGTCTCTTCATGTCTGCCCAACTGACCGAAGTGTTTATCACTTTGTACCTAGGAAAGTTTTTATAAGGTTTCATTCATTTATTTGCATCATTCCTTTATTCAACCTCTTCAGCGTCGTCGTCATCATATCATTTTTGTGGCCCCTACCCACCATTGCTGTTGTCAGCATTGCAATTTTTGTTGTTCTTCTTTACTAAACAGCTCTGACAGAAGCTGAACTGCTTTCGTATCATTCCTACATTTTCAAACTTTCATGTCACAAAGGCTGTACTATCCCATGACGTACATCTCGATGACAATACTGTCTGTTCCGGGCAGACAGTATTCGAACCAGGCCACTGCGTAACTGCACGAGGTATGGCACTTCTACCGACTGAGCTAACTCGCCGATCATAACTAAAGTCCATTATATTTTGATGCTAAATAATGTAACATTCACATATACATCATCATGGCTACCAATGTAATTTTTAACTTTGCAGTTGAAACGTTATTCTAGGCAGCTTCTTTGTTTTGTAACATTCATTCATTATCATTGTTATCTTCATTGCTATCATTATTTAAACTCCAGTCACTCATTAATTCATCCACTCGTTCAATCACTCACTCATTCTCCCTTCTTATCTCTCACTTATTTACTAATTAATTAGTAAAAAATCCGAACCTCGACTGAGTGAGTGGAGTGAGAATCTCGATGACATCATCGGAAAATTCACTCCACTTTTCACTAGAAGCTCCGAAGTTGTACAATCTCAACAGTTCCTGAATGGCGTAGGCTACGCAGTCCTTGGTTGGAGGAGAAAGATGAAACATGAAAGTCACAACTCCATCAACAAAGATCAAACCAGGTCTACAACATCAACAAACAAACAGACAACAATATCAACAAGCAGCAACGTGAACAAATGACGTCAACATAAACTGACCGACGTTATAAAGCCAACCAATTACAACTAACCAACAAACCAACCAATCACAACCAACCAACCATCTAACCAACCAACCAACCAACCAACCATTCAACCAACCAACCATCCAACCAACCAACCAACCAACCATCTAACCAACCAACCAACCAACCAACCAACCAACCAACCAACCAACCAACCAACCTGAACACTATCGTCAACTCTGAGAAAAGCCTTGGTCATCTCAACGATGAGTTGAACGCCATAATTTTCAGAATCCAAACTGAGTGCCCGCTGGTCCGAGCTCTTCTTATCAACCGTCGAAGACATCTCCAGTCTGATGTTTTTGTTTGTGGCGGTTAGTTGGGTGAGTTTGATACATTTCGTTTGAGGTTAGGTGGCGAATTATGTCAGTCACCGTCTCATTCGAGGTTTAAATTAGATCAAATGAATGGAGCAAATTAAGAGCTATTACTAGCCTGAGAAGTAAACTAATGAAACCGAACAAGATTTTACACGTTTTAAAAACAACCAACAAAAACATCTCATCTCATAAATATTACAAACATACATACACAAAAATGTTTCAACGTATGAATATTAAAACATTTGTACATAGACACAAACAAACATACACGCAAATAAACACACACTCCACACTCACATAAAAACACACTCACATAAACACACACACAAACACACAGACACACAATCACACACACACACACAAACGAACCTTCCAGGGTCAATTGCCCCCATCTCACCCAAACACTGACCAACTAAGTTTCTCACATTCGCATCTGGGTCCCTACAGGCTTGTAAAAACTGCAAAGCAATGAATAATGATAATAACTACAACTATAACAAAAATACGGCTAATATGAATAGAAGTAAGCCATACTACAACAGATGAATTTATGAAGACATCACATTTAGAAACAAAACAAATTTAAAATTTGAAATAAATGAATGATCGTCATCATCGCTATCACGACCGCCTACATCATCATCATCACCACCACCTACATCATCATCATCATCACTACCACCTACACTATCATCACTATCATCATCATCACCATGATCAGCTGACCAACCACGTCAATCATTTGGCCAATGATTGGATCAGCTGATTCCTTGGCCACCATTAAATTCTGGATGATCTTCTGTGTGCAATTTTGAAACAAATTTAATTTATATATTTATTTTATACATCAATGAGAATAAATAGGAACTAATACAAACATACGCGCGCGCGCACACACACACACACACACACACAAACATATATACATACTTTGCGCTTTTGAAAAGTTTTAAAGAGCGCTAGGATATAAATTCTCTAATAATAATACATACATACAAACATACATACATACATACATACATAAATACACACTCCTGACTGCAGTACGTATGTTTGCATATGTGTGTATAAGAAACAGACTTTGTTTGCCCTAATAAGCTCCTTCAGCTTCCTGAGGGCTGTATGTCTAACTTCCAACGAATCGTGACCCACACCTCTCAGCAATCTTTCCAGTAACTTTGCGACGTCCTTACAACTGTATTAGAGGGAAAATAAAAATTAAAAAAAAATTGATTGCGAATTTTCTTATTTTGCTAAATAATTTTCATTAATTTTCATAAATGTACACAATCACATTGTAGTGGTTCTTACACAGACCATAATCTTCTAAACCACTTTAAACCCCGTTATAATAATAATAATAAGAAATGTGATTACATATTCACACCAACATATATAATATCCCGAAAATCACATCGATGTATAACTTCAAGAAAAATTTATTTATTTATTTATTTATTATCATAATTCATCAATTTTTTTATTTATTTTTATTTTTTTATCTAATTCATCTATAATTTATTTATTATCATTATTTATTTATATTTATTTATTTATTTATATACCAATGATGAAATCAATTTGATGCGATATGATGACATCATCAAAACATCAACGCTATCACGAGACGGCACATCATATAAAATCACACACCAGTAAATCAGACTATGATTTTGTTGAAAATTGACGACGCATTGATTAAATTTTTTAAATCTTTAAAATTCTTAATAACTTTTTTTGATTTTCAATACGGGCACATTTCACCTAAGACGAGGTCATCATCATTCACGTTACGTCACGCTACGCTAATACAAAATCACATCAAAAACAAATCAACCACATAAAAATGGCATCAACACTTCACCCCAAAATCACCCAACCCCCCTCTCCTCATCAGCCAGACCCACCCACCCACCTAAACTCTCCTTCCTGGTACAGCCTGGCAACTTCTTGCACCTGCTTCAGTTCAGGTCGATTTGGAATGAAGAAGAGATCGCACAGATAGTCATGTAATTTCTCTCTTTAATTTATTTTCAGATTTATTTTTTCGTTCGTTCATTCATCCATTCATTCATTCATACATCCATCCATTCATTCATTCATTCATTCATTCATTCATTCATTCATTCATTCATTCATTCATTCATTCATTCATTCATTCATTTAATTCACTCATTTATTTATTTAGCTATTATCAATCGCCAGTTATAAGCCCAAAATTTTTCAGTAATAAAAACGATTTGAAGAAAAAATTTATCATGAGAGCATTTGGCGAGATTTCGCTACTCAACTATATGAACCATATAAAGAGAGAGAGAGAGACACAAGAAGCAAGAGGATGATTTTTAGTAGGTAGCCAAGTGATGGCTTACCTACCAAAATATGTTAAAGAGGCGTTATTTATCGGGCAGAATCAAATGAAAACAGCACTGGTGACAGCTTTTGCTATCTTTTGTTATATTACCACCATTCGAATCATCGTTGTCATCTCTCTAATCATCATTCTCTAATCATCTGATGACAATTATCTCAATTATCAGTCTATCAAACGGAAACGCTTCAATCATCTGGATCAATTAAGTCATCCCGATTTCAATTATTACAATCATTTCATTGATCAATCATTTAACACCTCAATCATTAAAATTATTTCTACAACCATCTTCAATCCTAGAAACCTATAAATTAAATTACTTTAGAGAGAGAGAGAGAGAGAGAGAGAGAGAGAGAGAGAGAGAGAGAGAGAGAGAGAGAGAGAGAGAGAGAAAGAGAGAGAAAGAGAAAGAAAGGTAGAGAGGAGAGAGAAAGAAAGAGAGAGAAAGAGAAAGAAAGGTAGAGAGGAGAGAGAAAGAA